GGAGGCATCCTTGCGCTCGACACTTCCGGATCCATTGGACAAATCATGTCGAAGGCTCCTACGTCGTCTTGTCTATACGAGCATGTGTATTTCTCAAAGGCAGTCGCACACGTAGAAAGGATTGAAGGATTGAAATGATTCGCACGAGAGGGCCGCTCCCTTTTGACTCGCGCAGGACAACGGCCTGCGTGAAGAGCGGACTCCTATCCTCTACGAAGGTAGGACGAGGATGCACGGATTCAAGGATATAAGGATAGCACCTACGCGACCTTCGTAGCCTCTCTGCAAGAAATTCCGCCGGTGGAATGCAACGGACTTTTTAGGCCTAATGCCCGCCACGGGGTCGCGCTCCCTCGTCGCGTCGTATGTATGTAACGAGAGAAGGAGAGAGAGAGAAGAAAGAAAGAAAGAAAAAAGTTGGCTGTGGCCGCGATAGTGTGGGGTCTGGGGCGTGGGGTACAGAGAGAGAGAGAGAGAGAAAAGAACAAATGCCTGTCGAGACAAGGCTCTCGAGGGCGGCAACCGACACGGCGAGCTGCTGCAGTGGACGTCCTTGCTACGTTATCTGTTGGCTTACACGTTCCTTTCACTTTCGGTATAGCTACGAGAACGACTGGAGAGCCCGGATCTCGCGGACAAAGATACCTCGTAAACTTTGCTCTCGATTACCACCTCGGGACTGACTTTGAGGGAAAAAACAATCGAAATCTCTGCTCGGTGACCTCGAGACTTCCGAGTTAAAAAGGCGGTCACACACTAAAGTCCTACTATAAGGATCAATCAGAATGCTCCTCCCCCTTAGACTTCACGACACGTAGTAATGAACTACCTGGTACGCTGTACATACCAAAAGGCCTATACATAGCGTATCCTGTTATACGATTAAAGATACGGATGGATAACGATCGGCAGTTGCTCCTTCTTTCATTCATCATTTAATTATTATTTTCTCATTCGCTTGGCCAATACAGTCACGTGGGATTTTGCAAGGAAATGTCCAAGTCGCAACAGAACGGAGCGTTGCCAGGTGTCGGTGGTAACGCGACAGTACCCGATGACTTTTCTGATGACGAGAGTAGTCCCTTGACCCAGGATTACGACGGAAGGTGAGAAAGGACAAGCGAGTACTAGTAATCTTTATGTCGTCTTCAATGTGGCGAATCTATATTCGGAAATTTCTTTTCAGTCAGAGGACGGTGCTGGAAACAAAAGGATGGGACGTCTTCAGGAATCCCCCGCCGAAAATCGATTCGGGTTCGATGGCCAATCAGAAGTGCCTCGAGGTCACGGTTCAAATAACGAAAGTCTTCGTTTATCTCTTTGTCTTTATCATTGTTCTTGGTAGTGGAGTCATCGCCAAGGGTACCATCCTCTTCATGACCTCGCAACTCCGTCCTGCTCGTGCGATTGTCTATTGCAATAAGCAGTTGGGTAAGCAGCCGCTCCAAAGGGAAACGCGATCAATGATTTCGTAATGTTTCTCAAGCAGGCACCAGCCCGCGCGATCGATCCGAGCTCTGATGCACAACAATATTTTCCAGGAAGGGATCGACAGTTCGTGGTTACGTTACCGGAAGAGGAGAGGATAGCGTGGATATGGTGCATCATCATCGCGTTCGCCGTCCCGGAATTCGGGACTCTTATACGTAGTCTTCGAATTTGTATCTTCAAATCTTGGAAGAAACCGCCGGCCTCCCATTTCCTTCTGGTGTTCCTTATGGAGACCTTTCACGTGGTTGGCCTGGCTCTAATGTTCCTAGCAGTTTTACCAGAATTGGACGTCGTTAAGGGAGCTATGATAACGAACTGCGTATGCTTCGTACCGGGTGTGCTTGGTAAGTCGGATTTAATCGAGCCCAGGTGTCCGGATTCTCAGAGAATTTAACAATCTTTATGTTCCCCGCTGACAATGCAGGACTTCTATCGCGAAATAAAAACAAGGACGAGTCACGAAGATTTGTTCTGGTACTGGTTGATCTGCTTGCACTCGTGGCCCAGGCAACCGGATTCGTCGTGTGGCCCCTGTTGGACAGCGCGAAGCCATCGGTCTGGCTGATACCGCCTGCACTGATACTCGTCTCTTGCGGCTGGTGGGAAAATTATGTTTCCATGCAAAGCCCAATAGGTAAGTCCAGGCCCAATTATTATGATACTATTTATTGGAAAAGAACAAAGAAACCGATAACGATTTCATTCTTCTCTGCTCTACGCTTGTAGGAATTGTCAGGACACTGGGAAAGGTCAAGAAGGAACTTAAGCTGACGCGATACTTCACCTACATGTTTATGTCAGCTTGGAAGATCGTTGCCTTTCTAATCAGTACCATTGTGATTTTGCATACCAAGGGTGAGAATGTTGGACATCTCTTTTCCATGTTTGGGAGCGCTTTTGGTGATCACAAGATCACTGTCACGGCTGTGCAACCGGGCTCCTTATCCGGAACGATGCCTGATCTCTCTGATATCTTGAGAAATGGCGAGACCGAGACTGTAACCGCTGAATTTAATACGCCAATATACGTGCTTCTTTTGCAAATATTCGGCGCATACTTTGCTTACATTTTCGGTGAGGACAACGCCACCGGCATCGTAGCCCAAAGGCATTCAAAGTATTATATTAAGACAAACATTTAACTTTATTAATTTATTCTAGGAAAATTCGCCTGCAAAATCCTGATTCAGGGATTCAGCTATGCCTTTCCAGTAAATCTGACAATTCCCGTAACAATTTCCTTACTGATAGCCGCATGCGGAATTCGCAACGGCGATCCTTGCTTCTTTCACGGCACCATTCCCGATTATCTCTTTTACGAATCACCACCTCTCTACTTCCTTAACGATTTCGTCTCAAAACAATACGCCTGGGTCTGGTTGCTGTGGTTGCTCTCGCAGACTTGGATCACTCTACACATTTGGACCCCGAAATGCGAGCGTCTGGCAGCAACTGAGAAATTGTTCGTGGTGCCCATGTACGATTCGTTGCTGATAGATCAGTCTATGGGCCTTAACAGGAAGAGGGATGATCAGCCGGAGGTCAAGGTTGAGGTAGGTACTCCTAGAACAGCGGAAGTGCTCAATATACAATGAGATCTATAACTTGCTTGATTACTCTTAGGATTTAGCTGAAATTGAAAAAGAAAAGGGGGACGGTGACTACGAGACAATTTACGAGCATACTGATGGGTCCAGCACGCCGCCATCTGCCGTGAAAAGTAGCGATCACGTTACTCGTATTTATGCTTGTGCTACCATGTGGCATGAGAATAGAGAGGAGATGATGGAATTCCTGAAAAGTATCTTGCGCCTTGACGAAGATCAATGCGCGAGACGCGTAGCGCAGAAATACCTCAAGGTCGTCGATCCGGATTATTACGAGTTCGAAAGTGAGTAGCGTCGAACCGCCTGCACCACGAAAGAGCCATTATGTAATTCTGAGATTAAAATTCGCTATACGCACAGCTCACATCTTCTTCGATGATGCTTTCGAGTTGTCTGACCACGATGAAAACGAGTCCCAGGTGAATCGGTTCGTTAAACTCCTGGTTGGTACTCTCGACGAAGCTGCGTCGGACGTGCATCAAACTAGAATGCACGTGAGGGCGGCCAAAAAGTTTCCCACACCGTACGGCGGTCGACTGGTGTGGACGCTTCCTGGAAAAACGAAAATGATTGCTCACCTGAAAGACAAGAGTAAGATTCGTCACAGGAAACGATGGAGTCAGGTACAGCAAGCGGACTCACGAGCAATAAACTAAAGAATGTGCTAATTATGTAATTAATCATTTTTGCCGTTGTCGATGACGTAGGTAATGTACATGTACTATCTACTGGGACATCGTCTAATGGAATTGCCTATAAGCGTCGATCGCAAGGAAGTCATCGCTGAGAATACCTTCCTGCTTACTCTCGATGGTGACATCGATTTTCAACCGGCTGCGGTGAAACTTCTGATAGATTTGATGAAGAAAAATAAGAATCTGGGTGCAGCTTGTGGTCGCATACATCCCGTAGGCTCCGGTAATGCTACTCTTTTGTTCTTGTCCACGGCGCACCAGCGACGGCTCAACAAGCCAAGTTCGTAAAGACGAATAACCATTGATGTCAATTCTTTTCAGGTCCAATGGTTTGGTATCAGATGTTCGAATACGCTATTGGTCATTGGCTGCAAAAGGCGACGGAACATATGATTGGTTGTGTTCTCTGTAGTCCTGGCTGCTTCTCCCTCTTCAGAGGTAAAGCTTTAATGGACGACAACGTGATGAAGAAGTATACCACCAGATCGGACGAGGCAAGGCATTACGTACAGTACGATCAGGGCGAGGATCGATGGCTGTGCACCCTACTCTTACAGCGGGGCTATCGTGTCGAGTATTCTGCGGCCAGCGATGCCTACACCCACGCGCCAGAAGGCTTCAATGAGTTTTACAATCAGCGTCGTCGCTGGGTACCTTCCACCATAGCCAACATAATGGATCTTCTGATGGATGCCAAACGAACTATAAAGATCAACGACAACATATCCCTGCCGTACATTTCCTATCAGATTCTTCTTATGGGTAGGCAGAAGACAGTCGAGAGAAACTGGGCTGCTCGGCAGATTAAAGGATTATCTTCTTTGTAATATAGGTGGAACCATTCTTGGGCCTGGTACCATATTCCTCATGTTGGTCGGAGCCTTCGTGGCCGCATTCAAGATAGACAATTGGACCAGTTTCTACTACAACATTATTCCCATTTTACTCTTCATGCTCGTTTGTTTCACGTGCAAATCAAATATACAAGTAAGCCTTAGTTTTTTTTTTATAACAAGACGGAATGAAGATTATTGTTACGGCCGATGAACGGTTACGCTCTGTTGGCTATATTTGTTCGCATTGCTTGTTGTGAATCGTCGTTCGTTAATCGTCAATCGTAGATAGATTTTCTTCTAGATCGATTGTGTACTGTACCGAACGTGGTCCGTTTGTTCACCCTTTATTTTTCAGCTTCTCTGCGCTCAGATACTATCAACGGCATATGCGATGATAATGATGGCAGTGATAGTGGGCACGGCCCTTCAGCTTGGCGAAGACGGCATAGGCTCACCCTCTGCGATATTCCTGATATCTTTATCAAGCTCATTCTTCATAGCAGCCTGTTTGCATCCGCAAGAGTTCTGGTGTATAGTACCCGGAATTATATACCTCCTATCCATTCCGTCTATGTATCTGCTGTTAATTCTCTATTCCATCATAAACCTGAACGTTGTTTCTTGGGGTACACGCGAGGTTCAAGTGAAGAAAACAAAGAAGGTTTGTCCCTTGTGAAAAGTATAACGGTGATGGGCCTGACAGCGATGGTGATGGCGATGACGAGGGTGATTGTTGTACAGATGCTTATTCTCCCGGTTGAAAGTAACGTTCATCGGAAATGTAACGAATTACCGATTGCGAAAGTATGTTATTGCATTTGGCGCACTAACGCTTCCCGGCAGGTCTACGTGGCGGCGGTGCTAAGCGTCGTATACGGATTCGTTATGATCTCTACGATCATCGCCATTCTAATTAATATTTCGGAGGAAGGCTGGTTATCTCCATCAGCCCTGTTTCTATGCATGGTAGCCGTGGAAATGTTAATAACGAGCTTGCTACATCCAAAGGAATTGAAGTGTCTGTTATGCGGAATAATCTACTATATAACGGTACCTTCAATGTATATCCTACTAATCATGTATTCCCTATGCAATCTTAACAACGTATCGTGGGGCACGAGGGAAGTCGAAACGAGGAAGACTACTGCGGTAATTATCGTTGCACATCAACTGATCATCCGGCTAAAACGCAATACTAACCACCCAATTCACCTATATCAGCACACGGATTATTTGCTATTCTTGATTATCCATCAGGAGCTCGAGCAAGAGAAAAAGGAAGCCGAGGAGGCTAAACGGAAAGCCAAGCAGAAGTCCTTATTGGGTTTCCTTCAAAATGGAGCTGGGACGAACGATGACGATCAAGGATCCATCGAGATCAGCTTAGCTGGACTGTTCAAGTGTATGCTCTGCACCCATGGGAAACCCTCCGACGAGAAACAGCAGCTGGTCGCCATTGCTGAATCTCTTGAACTATTGGGGAAGCGGCTGGAATCAATTGAAAAGTCTCTATCGCGAAGAACGTTTTAAAGCTAAGCCTAAACCACACGGACGACAGTTTTAATTCGAATATTGATAATGTTGCGCAGAGCCGTCGACCCGCACGGACACGTGATAGGAAGGAGACGAGCTTCTTCGAGCGGTTCTCGCACTGCCGATCACCTGGGTGCCATAGGCGAGGATCCCGAGTTGAACGATGAACGCGACAGCGACACAGAGACCGTCGCCAGTCATAATACGGAGAACAATCGCGAGGGGAACTTCCTGACGAGTCCTTACTGGCTCGAGGACCAGGATCTGAAGAAGGGCGGCGTCGACTTTCTATCCGTCCAGGAGGAACAATTTTGGAAGGACCTACTTCAGAAATATCTCTACCCCATCGACGAGGACAAGGCTGAGAAGGTAACATTCCACTCGCATGGGAGTCTAATATCACTGAATAACTATTGGAATATTGGATACGTTCATCATCCAAAATTCAAAGAGAATACTCGCCATAATTTGTTTCATGCAATATTCTTGGAGTTTATAGCGCTCTCGCGAAATTAATAAAACTGCTGATTACATCAGGCCCGAATCGCTAAAGACCTGAAGGACCTACGTGACCAGGCGGTCTTTGCCTTCTTTATGCTGAACGCGCTCTTCGTCCTGATCGTCTTTCTACTGCAGTTAAACAAAGATTTGCTTCACATTAAGTGGCCCTTCGGTATCAAGACTAACATCACCTATGACGAGCATTCCCAAGAGGTAATTCTCGCTCCGTGGATGGTCGCGCCTCTTCTGGCGGCTTCTCCAAATAGATCAAATAAAATGAACAATTAGCAAGGAGAATTAAAATAATGGGCTAGACGAAAGGACGGGAGACTAGCCGGTGAAGTGGGTGCGTCCTCACACGGAGCGTTTTTATAACTTGACTAATCGTATGATTTTTTTTGACTCCCTACAGGCTCGCATAGCTGCCGACTTGATCGAGCTGCGGAACAAGAGTGTATTCGCGTTTTTGATGTTCAATGCATTGTTCGTTCTTATCGTATTCTTGCTGCAATTGAACAAAGACCAGTTGCACATAGTCTGGCCACTCGGGATCAAGACAAACATCACCTACATAGAGGAAACCTCGGAGGTACCGCGGTATCCCGGAAGCCTCTCAGCCTGAGACTAACTTTCGGCGTGTCCCCTCTCGCTTCACCGTTCTACTCCCTTCTTTCTTCTTCCTGCCTTTTTTCATGAATTCTTTTCGATTATCATCGACGAGCGCGTGTTTCGCGTTGCGCATATGCAGGCAGCGAAATGGGACACGCCAGGCATGGCTGCTATGTGCTGCTGATTTGCACTTGCTCGCTCAATCTCTTCTTTTCGTTCTCTGTGTATTGTCAATAACAATCGCTCGGTTAATTGTCGCCAATGGTCAATAATCGTAAGACACTACTGCACTGGTTCCTGGCTCTTCTCGTTCGAGCACAAGATTAATTTCTATGTTCGAGACGATTGTCAGCGCAAGAAAACGCGTGACTTCCCTCGGAGCTCAAAGATCACCGTGGAAGCACATTGCTCGTGACTCTTGGATCTGCCTGCTCGACGGAAGTGACGTGTGCGCGTGTCGCTCGTTACAAAAAAAAAAATGTACTTGTGCTCTACTTAATTAAGGATACTAATCCCACTATCGCTGAGGCCCGGCACGGTGGACGACGGAGTTACACTTTTGGTTACCTGTGTTTTGTTTGTGTCTAACTATGGTGTGCACTACGGTGTGCATGTGCTGTGCGCGCGTGGCCGCTCTTTCTTGATCTTGCACATCTTTCCACTTTACACGATGTTTATAGTAAAACTTATTTGGTCCTATAATCAATCGAGAAAGACGAGCAGACATGCAAACACGTGGATAACTTTTTACATGTTGGACTTGAAAGCCTCTGTGGTTCTGGGGTGTCTCTTCGTTTTCTCAATTGATTGAACTCGCTTTTCAGGTACACATCAGTAAAGAGTATCTGCAGCTTGAGCCCATCGGTTTGGTCTTCGTCTTTTTCTTCGCGTTGATCCTGATAATTCAGTTCACCGCCATGCTGTTCCATCGCTTTGGGACTTTTGCGCATATCCTGGCGAGTACCACACTCGACTGGTATTGTTGTAAGAAGGTAAGCTCAGAGGAACGGGTTTTCGGATGTCCAGAAAAAGAAAAAGAAAAAGAAAAAGATAGTACCTACCACGCTTGACCTTACGATTGCAGGCGAAGGATCTATCAGAGGAAGCACTGCTGTCTAAGCACGCTGTGGAAATAGTGAGGGATCTACAGAGGCTAGACGGCATCGAAGGTGACTACGACGAAGGTAGCGGCAGTGGCCCTGGAAGACGAAAAACCATTCGCAATTTAGAGAAAAGTCGTAGGAAGACTCAGGCCATCAACACGTTGGACGTCGCCTTCAGGCAGCGTTTCTTTAGTATGGCGGAAGGAGGCTCAGGTGAGTACCGATAGTCCGATTGTAATCAGATTCTGGCTTTTATTTTATATTTTTGTTATGTCACAATCTGCAGGTCTGCCGCGGAATATGTCGACGCGTCGATCGACAAAGGCCTTCAAAGCATTCGAGGGTCGTCGGAACAGTATAATGGCGATGCGACGCAAGTCTCAGATGCAAACGCTGGGCGCCAATAATGTCTACGGAGTCGCAGGCAATCCTTTGGGAATCCAAGGAAGGCCGACGAGGAGCAGTCAGATATCGGTGAAGGACGTCTTTGAGAACCACACCGGCCAAGTGAATCCTGCGTACGAGGACGAGGAAAGTCCCAGTAATAGTCTCAGAATGCAACCGCGAAGTCAAGTCACTTGGAGGGACGTCAGTTCAAAAATGTAACGGATCGTGGTTGTTGACTCGGAACTGATGCACGCCATTGTCTGCATTGTCTACACCTGAGATTACTTCCTTTCTCCTTATTCCTACTCCGAATTCTTAATTGAGATTCGATTCTTGGAGACGTCTCTCGCCGAGACGGAGTTTACTTCCCAGAAATTCTGACGTTAGTGCGATTCGAGTTCGCGACGGCTACGCTTAAACTTTTCTTTCCTTAAACGCTATTTTCACTCTCGTATCTGTCTTCTTGGATATTTAAGTGATTACTATACCTAGATGTGCCTGTGCCTCCGTGTGCGTGTGCGTGTGCGTGCGTGTGCTTCAAGACTGCGCGGAGAAGCTACTAATGAATTTACGTGACAATTAAATGATAGCTTTAAGATCAAAAAGCAATACGCCGTCCAAAGCTCCTTTGACGCACAGCGCATTTTCTTATAAAAAGGAAAATACAATATCTGGATTTTTAAGCGAACTTTACTTCATGATCACGTAATCAATCAATCTCAATCAACTTGGTGAAGAGCGTAATGCTTCTGTCATTAGAAGAATATATGTCAGCATCGTGTAGTTTTCTATGACTCGTCGCATTGTCATTCCATCGGAATAACTTTGCGAGGGAAACCAAAGGGCCGTGACAGCGTAGGATAGGTGTCCGAATAAGGACAAATGATTTCTCTCAACTAACCTGCAAAAGACAGTTTGCGCATCTTTTGTACTCAAAAAAATTCGTAAAATCGTGTAAAATGGCTTACCCCAGAATTCCACCAAACAATATACAAAGGGCGTATCGATGTGCATTCGCAATCCCGATCATCTTTCTTATGTAACTCGACCAATAGGGCACTCGAAGCCTGTGTATACCGCGAGACCTTGGGTTGCAAAATAATTCAAGAAAAACTAACAAGAAGAAGATGCATAAGCCAAGAACATGGTGTCCGTGATGAAGGTAGAGGGAATAAACGAGAGCACCAATACTTGTGGTAGCGCATGAAATATCAAGCGCACTTCTTCCTGCCGTCAAGTCATCCGTGTTCCCAAGGTACAACGATTGGGGATCGATAGCTGGAAGAATCGATCTAGAGCACGGACTTTTGATAGAGAGAGAGAGAGAGAGAGAGAGAATGCACAGTCACTCACGGTACGTTTTCTCAAGAAGAGCATAGGTAAGGATGTTGAAGGATCGAGTACCCGTCGCCATTATGCCAATCGTAGCCCAGACAGAATGCACAGTCACTCACGGTACGTTTTCAACGATTGGGGATCGATAGCTGGAAGAATCGATCTAGAGCACGGACTTTTGATAGAGAGAGAGAGAGAGAGAGAGAGAATGCACAGTCACTCACGGTACGTTTTCTCAAGAAGAGCATAGGTAAGGATGTTGAAGGATCGAGTACCCGTCGCCATTATGCCAATCGTAGCCCAGACAAATTGAGGTAAAAGCCTCGAATATCTCTCGAACGAGTGTCTCCTTAGTATGTGAATACACGATCCTGATCCTAATAGCAAAAAGCCGCAAGAAATCACGGAAGCTGCTAACATTCTCAGAATTTCCAGGCACCAAACCAATGGCAACGGCAGAGATGTTCGCGATTTTACCGGAAATAGATGTTTACCATATATTTACGTATATTAACTTTATAACGACTGACGATCGAAATACCATCCTGACAGCGAGCATTCGGACATGGCCGGTATGCTCAATTCACTCAATTTACTTCGTACTCACGTGGCTTCTTTTGGGTAGAAACGTTTTATTTTAAGTGCAGATTTGACTAATGACAATTGAAATGACTTGAAAAAAAAAGGGACGGAGAAGCGATCGACGTCAACACAATGAAGTAGGCGATCAATAGTCTTTATTAAACTCTTATCTCTCCAAAGAGACTTTGTCGAGCAAGTAGAAATATAAACGTGTATGTTATACATGTGTCCATACGTACATATACATATATGTACATCCATTTACGAGTATCTGATATGGATAATTGCTACAAATAAAATAAATGGCACCGAGTTTCTCGATACCAGTGGAGGCACCAGGTAACGGATTGTAAGGCCTACGTTCCTAGTTATAGTTCCTTCAATATTAGCATCGCGAAAATCTCAAGGAAACATAGATTGTATTGTAGCAGATCCATATACGGTACATCGTATTTATCACAAAAATCTTCCAAGAAGTAGTGCGTAAATGCGTAAGAGGCTGTTAGACTTATAACACCAAAAAGACCGCTTTGTACAGATGCAAAAGTTAATGCTAACAATTGGAGGCTCACAACTATGTCCATCCAGTAAGGACATGCTCTCTCTTTCAGTGCTAGTTCGTAGATTGTAGGAAGACATCCAAGTGTCAATAGAATCAGTCTTACTTCTTTACTTACACCACACTCGTGCAGAATTTCAGTTGTAAAAAATATAAATGGTATTACATTGGCAATCGTTGTGAACCAAGTATAGAGGCTCCTAAGGAACTTGTTGCTATCGGGAGTCCCTGAAGCAAAAGTCAAATAATGAACCAGCATCAATTATACGCAGGACGTTCTTTATCATATCACCATTGGCATTTACCAAATCTGAGAACACCCAGGAGAGAATGGAAGAGCAGAATTTGAAAGGCCTTAACGGCCCATGCCTGGTAGCTGCCGTATACACTGAAACCTCCAGGAAGTTGCTTCAAGCACGAAGCACTGACACCCAGTTTAACTAGGTGCGCGAGGACAGTGGCCGGATGGATCATGACTTGGTAAATATTTCGAACGTCGCAATCGAAAAATCTTTGGCCCGCCAACCGTTGACGAAGACTCAGTACCGTGCATGCCAAAATACCAGCAACTCTTCTCTTTCTGAGTACTCCTTTCCACCAGTAGTGTGGCTCACTTTGGCCTCACGTAACAGCATAAAATAATAACACCAGGCCCAAAAAATGCAGTCCTTCCTTCTTTCTTCCTATCCTTATGGCTAACTCCTCCAATGAGGAGATGTTCCAGTAACTAGTAACAGAGATGAGTGGGAAGATGCACAACGCTCCGGTTTTAGGCGATACCAAAAGCATGGCACTAAATCGTAGCGGCGAGTCCGGGAGTAGGATTTCGTGATCATCGCCTCTGTCGATGTTACAGATTTCGCGTAGCCGCGCGGGTCATGATCATCGTTCCAGCCGATATTGCAGTCAGCGAAAATGAATGGATTGCTCGGTGGTGGGGAAAAAGTTGCCGCCCCTCACAAACCGTTCTTAACAAACAGGCGGGGCAGCAAGGTCTTCCGTCCAACCGAACCCTAAACGTTTGTATGGACGTAATGCGCAAACAAATGTGTATATTCAAATAAATTTCAAAGTTATAAAAAATGCATAGAAATATTGGTTTTCACTCTTTACCTCTTATCATGCCGAAAATGAACATTAAAAATGAATGGCGAAATTCGTTGGTAAATGAAACGACCGAGAACAGTTCAAAGAGAAATTTTGAAATATCATAGATAAATATCTATAGAATAAATATCTATAGAAAATTTAATTTAGTATTAAACGAGCATCGTGGCTGAGTCAATAACCTGTCAAGATATACCGCTGCTGGTTACGGGTTCGATCAATACAACTTCCGGAACAAGTAAAACATACACGTGTTTTTGGCGTGTAGCTAGTGCACCCGGTTACGAATCGGGAGGTCCGTGGTTCGAGACACCCCCCCTCTATGGAGAGCACTCTCTTTTTACAAAAAAAAAATGTGCTTTTGCAAATAGGATTAACAGGTTAAAGAGTATATCCAATTAATCTATTTATCTTATTACAATAAAGGCATAAACAACGACATTCTGCGGGCTTCCACGTCACCCAAGAGGTGCCGCAGTCGATGCGTTCCCACTATTTAACGTAGCGGGTTCCCAGTAGGCCTATACTACGATCAGCGATATCAACATTACACAAACGATCTATTTAAGTAATTAAAGTATAAACGAATAGCAATAGGATATCAAAAGGTTTCGATTAGAATAATATGAGTTCTACACTCAAATATAAAGTTTCTTCATTGAAGATGATTACGACAATTATTTTACATTATATTTCACACACACATGACGCGTGTAAATATCTAAAAGTAAGAGAAATTGAGAAAAGGACAATTGGGAAGAATAGTATATCGGTCTATTGAGATCACGTACTGGCGACTTCAACACAACAGTCTAGGAATCTGACGGATCGAATCTGAGCGGGCGTCTGCAACAATGTTGCTAACTATCGCGCGACAATTGAGAACCACTAGGCCTATACTACGATCAGCGATATCAACATTACACAAACGATCTATTTAAGTAATTAAAGTATAAACGAATGGCAATAGGATATCAAAAGGTTTCGATTAGAAAATCTTAATAATATGAGTTCTACACTCAAATATAAAGTTTCTTCATTGAAGATGATTACGACAATTATTTTACATTATATTTCACACACACATGACGCGTGTAAATATCTAAAAGTAAGAGAAATTGAGAAAAGGACAATTGGGAAGAATAGTATATCGGTCTATTGAGATCACGTACTGGCGACTTCAACACAACAGTCTAGGAATCTGACGGATCGAATCTGAGCGGGCGTCTGCAACAATGTTGCTAACTATCGCGCGACTAGCAATACACATTGGGGCCTGCAGCGTCAGGTCGTTCACAATCGTACAGGCAGCAGGATCACGGTAAGTAGTTCTTCAATAGTTATAAGGAAACAAGACGCAACACGTCTCATGTTTATTTTATTACTATGAAGGATATTGCGATAGAGAATATTGTGAGTTAATAGAAAATTATTTTCGATCACGATGACAACCTTTTTTTAAATATATTTTTTATAAGCTTAAAATAAAGTTTGGGCAACCGAGAAAATTTAAAAGAGAGGAATCTTGAAAAATAGTATAGGCCGATCGTAGTATAGACCTACTGGGGACCCGCTACGTTAAATAATGGGAACGTATCGACGTATCTACGTATCGAACCACGGACCTCCCGATTCGTAACCGGGTGCACTAGCTAGACGCCAAAAACACGTGTATGTTTTACTTATTTCGGAAGTTGTATTTCCAGAATTTCATCGTTTATTCAACTGCTTACT